GTCTAGTATAGACAAGGCTGGGCTAGAGTGTGTTAAGATTGAAAATCTAGCCCAGGCTGCACCTATGGTTTCCTTCTCATGTTGGCGGGAGCTAAGAATCTCTTGTCGTAGGTAAGCGATTTGAGATATATGGAAGAATGCCAAATAGAATATGTTCCTCAATTCTTCCCAATCTTTGTTTACCTTCCCTACATTGTGGGTGGATATTGTTTTGCCCTCTCAAAAGAAGGGAAACAACTTCTACCGAAGGTTTTTCTTGTGCCATGTCTAAGATTGTCAAGCATGCACAAAGCTACTCACAACTCCCATAAATGATGTCAAGAGTTTTCGTAAACTTAACCTAAGAAGGTTTGTTCCCAAACCATAGCTATAAAGCCAGGACGGCGTTCATAGCTAGAAGTTGTGATTGGCTTCGATGGTGGTGGCTCTAAGAACTCATCCTTAGGAGCAAAAAGATTTTAAGATTTGAAGGGCTTTATGGTAAAAGGATTTTTTTTTAAAATAAAGATAAAACACAAGGATACACGGGTGAACTAGGTTCGGAGATAATTACGACAACCGTTCCCCGGCAACAGCGCCAAAAATGCTTGTTGGTATTTCTTAACGCATATAGAAATAATCTGCAAGCGCACGGAATTACCGTTGTAGCATTTCACCCGAAAGTATTCAGGATATCGTATTTCCACAGGGAATGGTAGTGTAGAAGTCTCTTAACTAGTTCACCTAAGATAACATGAAGAAAGATAGCTCGGGCATTAAGGTTTTCTAGGGATAGGAATTCTAAGTTAAGATAACTTTGCCACTATAGACTTGCTTCGGGCACCGGCGTACACCTGGTCTGCCAGGCAATACCGGCCTACGGTTCTACGCCGTATCCGAACGTGGGGGATTACGAAGGACAAACAGGGCTGTCACCACCTGCCGCCTACCCCTCAACCGTGGATACGAGGCAAACGAAGGTAGCCTCTAGCCTAGACACCACGTCTACGCTATCGACTACTACTCTAGCATCGATCAGGGTTATCCGTCTTTATCATGGCCCTTTACTAGAGTATCCACTACAAGAGCGGACGACGAACCCGCAAGTAAATAATGAACAAGACTAACTTAAAATAGAACTCACCACCGAAGATAAACACAAACCTTGCACTCCAAATAGTACTAGATTCGTCGAGGTACAAGTGAAGAGGGAGCCGACATTCCCGGCATTCCTTCTGCTCGATGTACAAAGGGGCCCCGATACACAAGTGGAGGTATCCGACAATTCCGGTACTTCTCCATCTCTTTCTCTTCCTCACTCACTCCCTAAGCTAAGCCTAAGAGCTAAGATATGAAAGTGGAGCTTCTCCTCTTCTTGTCACATTGTGTATCTTGTGTATGATGAATCCTCAATGAACGTGAGGAGGGGGTCTTTATATAGCTTTGAGGAGGTTGGTGGAGCAGCTCCACAAAAAAATTGAAGTTTGTGGAGCCTCCACTATTTTTTCTCGAACAGAGTGCGTGGAGTTGAAACTGTTTAGCTAAAAAACATAGAGCGGAGCTGAAAAATGTGGAGCGGCGCAGTCCCAAACACCCCCTTCGAATGTCTATCTTTGTTAGTAGTTATTTACATAGATTGAGGTATATGTTAATTGATTAACAAAGATAGGTCTTAGCACGTCCATCTCTATTAATAGTCATTTAATGGGGATTTACCAGCCTAACCATTTAATCAGAGGGCCTTTTTCTTCACGCTATTTGATTTCCGTCTTTTGCGTGGATTGCGTTATCTAGTAGGATAGAGACAAGCCGCATCATTGTGCGTATGAGTGTTCAACGTGTTTGACCATGGACTGCATACTTGCGAGGGCTATCGCTATCCAAAGGCATTCAGTCTCATGTATCTTTGAAATAGAATGTCTACAACCGAATTTTTCTTATTGGTAAAAACTAAGCGCCTATATACCACTAAAAAAGACATAATTACCTCATTTCATTAGACTTAGTTTAGGCCTTTATATCTTGCTAGGTGGTTAGACTAGAGTAAAGTGTGGTGAGAAATTGGTGCTTGTACGGTTGAATCATGTCTGTGACCATGGATTGCACAGAGAACCTATCGGCCCTCGAGATACCGACAGGGACCGGGGTCCAGACCTCGAGGTGCCTGCCTATCGGCCTTCCATGGGCCTACTTGTCCTGTCGGCTCTCGAGATTCCGCAGGTTTTGGCTTCGCAGGCCATGTGTGCGCCACGTTATGTCAAATTTCTGTAATAACAGTTTCTAGATTTGTAATTTATCGTTAAAAATATATTATTTGAAAGAAAGTTCATGAGCATGTCACGGCGTTCCACCCAGAAGAAGCTCCGTTCCTCTTCGTATATCTTGGGCATCCGTCCCGCGGCGATCTCCACCGTGACGTCCGACAGGCGCCCAACGCCCTCGACACGCACCTCATCGGCGCAGACGCAGCGCCAGTCGAAGGCCTGCAGCTTGGGCACGCGCAGGCTGTAGGACGAGTAGACGGTGAAGGGTCTAGAAGCGCACGGAAACCAGGAACCAGCCGGGGTCAGATGACGGCGACTCCATGAAGCTGCACCTATGGCACGGCAGGTGGAGCATCGAGCGTGCACATGGAGATGGCCAGGTCTTCCAACGACGGGAGCTCGGTGAGGAGGAAGTCCTAGCCCTGACGCAGCACCGTCAGCCCCCACAGCGTCCTGAGGCTTGCGCCGTGGAGGCACAGCGGCCGCACCGTGTACCAATACGGCTGCAAGTGCAATGCAGCTCTGTCGTCACCGACGCCAGATCGATGGACCAGGCGCCGACGTCCTTGTCCGGCAGACCCCTGGCGCACTGGACGTGGATCGTGGACCAGCAGCCTCTGCGCGTTGGCGAGCACCATGAAGTCGTCGGCGTGCCGGCAATCCCGGCACTCCATGAGCACGTCCTTTCGGCAGACCAATTGGAGTGTTTGGACTACGGCGGTGTGGGTGCCAGTGTGCCACCGTCCGCGTCGCGGCGGCATGGAGAAGGTCAGGTTCCGGAGGAGGGTGACGAGACGCTCCCACCTCTTGGAAACTGACGCGGTTCGCATGGCTTCGTTGTATTGGAGCAAGGAGAGGATCCCGACGAGGATGTCGTCCGGCAGCTTATGCTGGTACGATCTGCTACTTCCTCCGCTGTCTTGCTCGTCGTCAGCTCTGTTTGGCGCTGCGATGTCGTTTTCAAGGTAGATTTGTTCTCGTGCTTCCTTTTTTTTAACAGAAATGCTCTTCTCAAGGCGTCCAATCCTTCAGACGCCTACGGAGTCCAATACTGAGCCTACTCTCAGCTTCTCCGTAAAAAATGTCGACTCCTTATTTCTCCTCGCCCGTCGTGGCCTTCTTTCAGCGCGAGCATGCGTCTTCCGCGGCCAACTCCACCGCGCCGCTCACCTTCCTAGCGCGGGGGATGCTCGACGTGGGCAGCGCTGTCGCCCCCACAGCGGGGACCGCACCCGCCCGCCCTGTCGCCAGGAGCCGGGCAGCAGCTCGTGGGTGTTACAATTACGATATGAGACACACACACACACCACGAACGTGCGTTTACAAATATACCAGTAAAACCGCTAAAAAGGACCCGCGTGTGCGTGAAAACCTAGGTGAACAGAGTCATACGGGCATCGGGGCATGTCTGATTCCTCATGTGTATCCCGCCTGCTACGCGAAGAGCTGGTTCCATATACTTCCATGCTTTAATTCATTCGGTAGCAGGGTAAGCACTTGTGTCTTCAAAGCACAACAACCTGTCATCACGTTGCATGCATTTCCTGTAAAATGGAAGGAAAATTATTTAATCATTGTACTTGTTAGACTTGTTCAAAACATTTGCTCAAACACATATAAGTTGCTTCTTTGAAATACGTCTGTTAATGAGTACTCCCTCCATTCCTCTTTTCAAAGACGCACACATATATCCAGATTCAAACTATTCTTTTTTGAAAGGCAAGATTCAAACTTTAAATCCTTTGACCAATAAGTTGACTAATAATTTTTTAATACAAATTCGATGCAGTAGATTTATAATTAAATATGCTACTATCCAATTATCATAACTTTGTAAGTATATAAATAATATAATATAAAATAAATAAATGTTAAAATGTGGTAGGGAGATCGTGCCATGTCAATCTGCCTTATAAAAGGGAATGTAGGGATTATTCACTAGCCCATCAACCCGTGCTAAAATCTTAGTAAGAGATATAAGCATTAGACATTAACATTTAATACCTAGAACTAATAAAATTACTTCAACGGATAGGTAGATAATTTAGATACAAATAAAATGTATTACTCTACATTATCTTTAATAATAGCATATGGAAATAATTTAGATATAAATTCAAGTGTTACTTTACATTATTTTATATAACGACAGAGATTGAAAATTTATATACAAACTTGTAGTATTTTAAATTATCTTTCATCATGGCAAAAGTATGCAATTTAGATAGAAATTTACAGAGCTATTTTTTTAAATTATTTTCATAGTAGCAGGTGTGGGCAATTTAGATATTAGATATAGATTTAGGAGTCTACATTATGCATTTTTTATAATGGTGGAGGTAGACATTTTTTTTTGTATAAATAAAAAACGCAATAGAGCCAATGGCTATTATAGACTATGATATTAATAGGATGTGCCAAATTTAAAACTAAATGTTTTTTATTATTATAAGGATTTTTAGAATTGATCTTTTTTTCCTTGGCAAGTTTTCATGAACATTAGCAAGGAGTCTTCTTTGGGGTCTCTAATAATTACTAATAATATATAAGATAAAGACTAGCTTGGCTCATAGATGCTCGACCCGTTACTAACATTCAGCAAAATAATTTAAACTTGGACCATCAATGACTTTCAAAACAAGGCTTAGAATTTGTATATGTAGATATATCCATGAAAGTCAAACAAATTTATGACCTATCTACTTGTGTTAGAGATTTTTTTTGTGTGTGTAATAACAGTCTGAAATTAAAGTCAAGTCAAGTATATACATACCTGGTTACATCTTTCCAAGTGCGCGGCTGCAGCCCAGGCATAAGCCCTTGAAGGATGTCGGTCACAAGTTTGTCACGTTGTTGTATTGTCACGTACTTGGGTTCCGTGCCAATTGGAGTCAACGTGCGCGTCCTACCGGCGGCAACCTCGATGGCGATGTCGGAGAGGCAGCCCACGGCCTCAATGCGCACCTCGTCAGCATAGCAGCATCGCCACTCGAACACCGCCAGCTTGGGTGCACGTAAGAGGAACAACGAGTATTTGGTGAACACGGCTGTGACGCCCGAGTGACATAAGAACAACAGCGGCTCCGATGGCGATTCAGTCTTGTTGTACCAACGGCATGACATGCGGAGAGTCCTCAGGTCATCGGCGAGCACGGTGATGGCGGCTTTGGTGTCATCCGTCATCACGCTGACGTCGGTGAAGCGGAGGTGTTTGAAGTGAGGCATGGTGTCCGACGTGACGCTCATACTGGCAGCGAGCGTGCACTCGCCGATGTGCAGGTCCTCCAGCGACGGGAACACGGTGGCGGCGAGCGGGAAGTCCTTGCGCACCACCATGTCCCCCAGCAGCGTCAGGGACCGAAGGGCGCTGACGCCGGCGCCGTGGATGCGCAGCGGCCTCACGGCGTACCAGAACGGCAGCACCTGCAGCTCGACCCTAGCGGGCAGCAGCTGGAGGGACCAGGCGCCGGTGTCCACGTCAAGTAAGAACTCCTTCCCCACGTGGGGGGTTGAGAAGAACCAGTTTCGTGGCGTTGGCGAGCGCGATCATGTCGCCTGCGTACCGGCATTCCATAGCCACGTCCTTCCTGTAAACCAGACGAAGCATCTTGATAGCGTGGTGGTCTGCGCACCGGCGGCGGAGCGTCCGCGCCATGCTCTGGACGCGCGGCTCGCTCGGCGTGGCCTTGGACGTCGTGTCCACAGCAGCAACGATAGGCAGAAGGTCAGGTCCGGGAGTTGGGAGAGGAGGCGCTCCCACCTTGTTGAAACCGACACCGTTCTCATGAGAATCCTGTAGGGGCACAAGGACAGGATCTGGACGAGAATGTCGTCCGGCGGCTTGCTGATATGGTCCTCCTCATTGTCTGCTGCCGTCGCCGTTTCGTGTTGTGGTGGCTTCTCCATTGCCATTATGTTGCTCTTCTCCGCCTGTCGAGTCATAAAGGCACAACTCAACTGCTGGGGAACTAGACCGGATCAAAATCAATTGAGTGATCAAGACATGTTGCGTTTATATATAATATAAGCTGTACAGGACTTTCATACTAGGATCAGAGTTCTTTTTCGGTTTTTTTGGGTAACATAATACTCATAACGATCCGAGTCCTATTTGACCCGGAGTGCAGAATATTAATTTTGTGCTTGTATGAAGCATTGTTGCTTGACAGAGATTTTTTTATATATAAGTGTAACTGATTGTATAATGCAGACATAGGTGCTAGTGCCCTTCTCAATAGCTTCAACATTCAGAATCGTGACCTTCAAACAGCATAGTTGCTCAATACCTTCGACATGCAGCATACGTCCTGATGTTGAATCATGTCCGTGACCATGGATTGCACATATTTCTTTGCCGAGTGTCTAGTTTTGCCGAGTGTTTTTTCTAATTTGCCGAGTGTCAAACTTTGCCGAGTGTTTTTTGCATCGTTTGCCGAGTGCAATTATTTTGATGAGTGTCTTTGTCGCAGCACTCGGTAAAAGACTTGTTTGTCGAGTGCTCGAGGAAATACAATCGGCAAATGTAAAAACACTCGGCAAAGAACCGGTTTCCGGGCAGTGACGCTAGCTAGTCAAGCTCGTTATAAGGGTGCCCACGGTGGATGTAATCGATTTCGATAATCACGTGAAGTAGTCTAGGTATAGACTGCAATTTAAAAGCAGATATTTTTTCCTATGCTCTCTTCTAACTGGTCGTGAGAGCAAAAAGATAGAAGAGGCTCACCGTACCATCCCATTCCCACCTTCCACGCTAGCATGTGGAACAAAAAGCTAGCATCATGTTTTTCTCGCTCTCTCTCACCTCCACGTCGGTTCCAGAGCATCAAATCGCTAGCTCAAATCACCTTGTTGGGACACCATAAGTGTGAGGTCCTGCAACCATAATTGTGAAAATGGCCACAATTAATGCTTGAACCCTAGAAGAAGTCTAAAGTCCAATTAATAGTCAGCGTGTCACGTCTATCATAGTTTATTTCCATCCTAGTAAAGCTGCTCATAGCAATAGCCATTTAAGATTTTTAGCTTTATTTTTCATATCACTATCTAGAAACAAGTGGGTATCACCAACATACTGCAAGCTGAACGACACCACCCTCACAGACTTCAGTCAACATATCTATTACCAGATTATTCCTACCTGCTTTCATAAGCATTCTAGTAAAAATACTTACCTCCGTTTTCGTTTACTTGTCACCGAATTTTTACTGTAGCAAATTTGACCGTACGTTTTTTTTCTGCAAAAGATTTTTAGATACATCAAGTTTTCACATATATGATTCTTTATTGAACATACTTCATTAGTGTTATATACATTGAAGTATTTAAGATTTTTTAGAAAAAAACAGATGGTCAAATTTGCTACAGTAAAAAAGTTTCTGACAAATAAACCCAAACGGAGAGAAGTATCTTTTACCAAATTAAACAGGAGCAGAGAAAGCAGTTTAGAGGTCAAAACAAGAGAAATATTTTCTACTATCCGGACGTCCATCCAAATTAAAAGAGGTCTAAATACCAAATGGATAATCGTATCTCTAAAACCAAATATTTAATACTCATACCCTATCAAAATCTAATACTTAAAGTTGGATACCTGATATGTACATAAGACGGGTATGAATATCCGATACTGTCCATATCCGACTCTAAAAAAGAAGAAATAAATCAACTACATGCATTCGGATCCGTACATATACCCACTTGTATCTGACATATTTTTATCCCTAAAAAAAGAGGATTACTAGACGACCCATTTCTAGGCTTATAAAAAACATATTATTCTCATCGTGAGCTCTAACCTAAATTGATCCGATCGATCCACCTCTCACAACTTTTCTAATCCATCCTCTTCACTCGACGGCAAAGCCCTTAGATTCCAACGTCTCCTCAAGGAATTCCTAGTTAACCTTATCGTATGTTTTTTCCTTGTCCAATATTTCAATATAATACCACCAGTTTCTTACTTTTATATACCTCATCATGAATAATTTCATGAATGGCAGGAACTAATAGGCGTTACAGCCAAAATGTTCAATACATATTCGGCATCTTCTCCAACAACAAGATACAAAAGAGAATCATTTCTACAAATGGTTTTTCAGAGAGAGGATGCTCATATTTGGGTTGTGCCTCTCAGGCAACCTAAAATAGGTCTCCCGTATAGGTACTCTGTTGTTGGAGGCTGATTTTGGGTCTCTTGCTATCCATTTTTGGTTTAGGTGCCCATATGAATCCCTTGTTGGAGGCGGTCTTAGAAATGATTGAAATGCATCGTGGTTGGTCCTTACACTTTTCCTATGTTCTCACCTAGATCTACAGACTCTTAAAGTGATCATTGGGGTCATTCAACTTTTTAAACGGTTCATTCTAAACACTCTAGATCCAATCATGAACCTGAGTACATGGCATCCTATTTTTATTTTAGTTGGTGATCTCATGATGTTTTACGTGCTTCTCTTATCGCTTTGATTCGAATTTTTTTCTACGCATAAAAACAGTCTTATCGATTATAGAAAAACATATGAGTTTAGCTTCTTCGGAATAGCAGGACCACAGCAAAGTTTCAACCAACGCTACCTGGCAACTGCATGTAGTCTGCAATGCCACACCGCGCTAGCTACTATACCAGTACGGTTAGCTACTACCTCTATATCAATTTCCCTATTTATTTTTTGACAAATTGACAAAACAAGGGAAATGTCATTTCAACCCCTCTAATTTGAAATTTGAAAGTAAGCTAACTCCATGGTGCAAGTGTACAGTGTACTGGCAGTCTGGCACGCACACGCCCACACGCGCATGCTGGCTGTAATCCAATCCTCCTATTGTGATATCCAACCCTAAGCAAGAAAACTAACCAAGTTATAACGCGATCGGTTGTCTTCTCATAGCATTCATAATGCAGAAGCTATAATAATTTTAATAGGCATTAATTGCACTGTCATATAAGCAATTTGCTGATATGACAGCCTATTCTTTGAAGAAAGAGGGAGGAAAGGGAAGAAATTGTTTCTTCTTCATAAACGATGTTTACGCATGAATCGAGGCTGAGGAAACCGCTCCCAGCACGTTGGGAGAACCTGCGTGGTTTCTATATCCTGTGCGGCCAGTCGTCACCCCGCGCGGCCACCGAGCACCGCCGGCCACAGAGCTTGCAGGGACCTCGCACGCCACCTCTTGCGGCTGCCGCTGCGCCGCCCGCAGAGGTTGCAAGGAGCTAGTGTGCCAACTCCCGCACGGCCGCCACCAAGCTCTGCCACTGCAGAGGTAGCGGGGACCTCGCGCACCACCGCCCCGCCCAGCCTGCCGAAACTCCCCTTGCCTCTCTCTACGCTGAGCTCGCGGTCACACCACCGCCCCGCAGTGAACTCGATGCCCGCCCAGCTCGCCGAAACTCCCCTTTCCTCCCTGCGAGGAGCTGGCGGTCTCCTTCCCCTTTCCTCCCTGCACAGAAGAGCTCACGGTCTCCTTCCCTTCACCTCCCTGCGCATGCGCAGATGCGCATAGGTTCATAGCACATAGCACAGACAATCGAGACAAGGGAGAGATGATTGATTGGTTGATTTTTATTTGACTCCAGACAAAAAAAAGTTACATTAGAAAGAATAGTTTCTTGTTACAAATTACAATGTCCTAGAGTGTAGAAATTACAGATAATTTCTATGTTGTGAGTGCCCTCAGTACCACCTACCACCTGGCTCGGTCTCGCTGGAGACCGGCTCCGGCTGGCCAGCAGCGCGCGAGGCAGGCTCCAGAGAATCGACCAGTTTTGGCCCTGTTCATTTTTTTTAAATTTAATTTATGCTTATATTTATGTTAAAATATTATGAGAGAAAAAAATATTTTTTATTAATTAAAAAATATTGTTGAAGTAGTGCAGTAGAATAGGACCGACCTGGGAGCCAGACTCAGTCACATGGGGTCACGGGGATACAACCAATCAATAGCTCCTCAGGTGCATGCGTCGAGCCTAGCCAAATTAAGCCCTTGTTTAGTTCCATGAATTTGGATTTTGGGGCTACTGTAGCACGTTCGTTTTTATTTGGCAAATAGTGTTTAAATATGGACTAATTAGGCTTAAAACGTTCGTCTCGTAATTTCCCACCAAACTGTGCAATTAGTTTTTCTTTTCGTCTACATTTAATGCTCCATACACGGACCGCAAACATTCGATGTGACAGGTACTGTAGCAACTTTTTGGAATTTGGCCTCCAACTAAACACGGCGTAAAGGTGCTGAACCAACCAATCGCTTTAGCTGCATACGATGATGGGCCAGGTCAGGCTATATCCGAGCTACCAATCACGCTCTTAGGGTGCCCCCAACTGGCTATCGAAATCGCTAGCTGACATCAGACGTGGAGGAGCGAAGGCAGGAAAAATGAACTCGCTAGCGAGTCTCTCGACGGTAGCCTCGCACACCTTCCAAGGAAGTCTGTGTCTATGCTCCGCACGTTTCCATAAACAACGGATCAAGAGTGCGTCAGACTTTCTTTTTTTAATTTATTTTGAGTACACGCCAACTAGCGATTTGGATGTTCCACTGGGGACGCCCTTAAGCTCTTGGAAGCAAGCCGTCGCAACAAGCATCCTCCCTCCCATCATGATCCACAGTGCGAACACAAGGTTGATACGTGTCCTTGTAATTGTGTTATGATGAATGATTATCAACGTGACTTGCGTCTTGGGTTGAGTTGGTGAACTAACTATGGCGTGAGTTGGGTTGTGCAACATGTCTCTTAACTTGTGATGCGCAGGTGTGGAGCTCAGAGGTGATGGTCCACGGCGAGGTGAAGGTCAAATAGGGTCGTGCCGTGCCGATGGACTAGGAGTGGTGAAGGACGGACGTGAGGCTTGGACCGAGAGTTCAGGAGGCCGGGTGACCAGATGCGGTGGCTGACTCTTGGGGAC